ATGAATTTAATCTTGTACCAACCCGTATTTATAGCCCGATAGATGTTTTAAAATGATACCTTATTACTTATATTTACATTTGTGACTTATTCATACTTTATATTTGCCTGACTGTGACTTTTAGCGTGTGAGAATGCATTACTTTTCAAACTCAATGCCAAGTATGTAATCCACTGAACGCGCGTCGACCCTTTATGACGTCACTGAGAAATTACGTCAAACGATTATCCATACGCACATCTTTGACCTCTTGACCCCGTACCTGTATTTATACAGTTATAGATATGCATTCCTTTCAGTAGTGTTATATAAAGAAAAACATTTGCAAATGTAAATATCTAACTATAACTTTTGTTGAAATTGGTAGTTTAGTGTAACAGTATAAATTAAAAACTGTTAAGGCACTACCGGGGTAATACTAATGAAACATAAACTAAATTAAATACATTTTTTGAGCGGCATTGATCTATTGTAAAAACGACAGACACGTAGGATATGACCCCCTCCTTCCTTTCAATTTTTTACTTGCTAACGCCGGGGGTGAGTTAACGTCTTCCTATTTTTGAAATTTAACTCCTCCCTATATCTGCATGTTGATTTAATCGAAATGTTTATTATTAATCGGAGGCACATAAAGAATTATATTAATGGATATCTAAAAAGGAAGAAGAGTGTGTTTCAAATCTATCGATGTCTGCATATTCCATGATTCTCTAAGCTTTAGATAGTAATCAAGTGAAGATTAAGTGAGACAGACGTCGAAAATAAAATCAAATTGCAAGACATCTCTTTTTATGTATCAGTCGAAAACGAAATACATGTATTTAAAATCAATAACATGCAATACGTATTAAAAATCCAAAATACGAAAACCCCAGAAAAACAGAAAGGGGGAGGATAAACAAATTCGTCTGCATGATTTAAAAGTTATTAATATTTTTTAAATCAAAACCTTGCCTGAAAATAAGCCAAAAACGACGTTTTTCCTATACAATTCAATAGAATACCGTTGAAAATGTTACTACAACAATGCCATCTTTGGAATTCAATAACACAAAAACGGTGCAGACGAATTTTATAAAATTTTCAGAGAATGGAAATCAAAGGTAGAGAAATCATATAGGTAATTTTGATGATATGTTTTCGAACACTTTTAAAAGCCCTGTAAACCCGCGACCTACGTTAAGTAAGTAAGTAAGAAAGTAATCATTTATTATAGTGACATTGTGCTTATAGACATTTCAATATACATTGTAAACAAAATACGTCAAACTGAATCTGGACCCGGCCCATTGGACCTATAAGTCACTTTTTCCATTAACATGATTAATAACATTCATATAAATTTACACATGCAGAAGATTCTTTCAATGGTTAAATGCTGTATGTACAAATTTGGCTAACTTTATTTGGTAATTTTGATTTAAAACTTTAAACCGAATCATGAAGAGATTTCGCAATAATTGTAACTTCCGCGTCATTTAGCGGATCTGTGCTTGATGCAATACCTGCACAGGCAATTGGGATTGAACTATTTTCTAAGATCGGTCTTTCTATTTTCTCAACTTTATCTAGTCGCTCCAGAATAGAGTCGATGGACTGTGACAGCACATCGATTTGTTTTTGTTGACTGCCAAGTTCAAGGTCAATATCGCTTTTTATAGCTTTGAGTTTTTCGTCAATACTTGATAGAAATTCATTTCGGAATTTATCCAATTTACTATCCAAAGACTTTTGTAACTGTAACTGACCTTTCTGTAAATTCTCGATAGCCTGCCCAATGATAATTATCCGGTCCGTCAAATCTAAATCCGAGTTTTCTGGACTCCCAGTCGAACTCGCCAATTTCATTGAAGTGTGATTTTTACTTCTGCAGCCACACAGCGAGTACCTGCTGGTCGGCTATGATATAACATCACTTTACACAAATATGCAAATGGAGGAGTTAAAGGCTGCTGTTGAAACGGCTTGCAGGGAAATTGACATTAGAATTTTTTTAGTCAATGACCGGACTATACAGCAGACCTTAAATTATTTACTCAGAATTATCCAAGAAAGTATTTTAAATGTTTCTGAATTTAATCAAATATTTATAAACAAATCATTGAACATACAATGGGTGGTAAGTATGGGACCCCTTTCCATATGTGATATCTCGCTTACATAAAATTACTAATAAAATTTAAAACAAATTTATTTTATGTGCGATGAGATTAAAGGAATTATTAAATTAGCGGCCCATTTTAAGAACTTGAAGGATTGCAATACAAATAATTATAAATCCACAGCATATATTTATAAACTTACAGCATAAAAATTATAAACGTTAAAAAAATAAAAACAGCATATATTCATGAATCCACAGTATATAATAAAAAAAAAAACAACAGCAAATAATTATAATAAATTGTACCAAAAAACATTTCTCTTAATCTGTGTTTGAATAGACAATACGTATGCCTAATCAAATAATGGACTAAATTTCGTTTATAAAATGATTATAGCCCCACAGCATATGAAAATGAAACCACAACATATAAGAATGGACCCACAGCATATAATTAAAAACCCACAGCATATAATTAAAAACCCACAGCATATAATAATGAACCTACAGCATAAAATAATAGACCCGCAACAAATAATAATGCAACCACAGCATATAATAATTGATCCATAGCATGCAATAATAGATTAAATTTTAATATTTCTCATTAATACACAACAAGATTGTCACTTTTCCTAAGGATTAAGAATAAAGTTAAAATTTGTGAAAGTGCATGGATATGTGTCAATCAAACCCGCCAAAAGTTTTGAAGTTTTATTAACTTTTAAATGAAATAAGATTTTTGATTAATTTTTGTGTGAAATGCTATTAAAATATATAATTTGTAATATTATACAGGAAATATTAACTTTAGATATGTGTCCAAGTATCTTTAAATGTTTATACTCGGTCGTTCTTCTTTGTGCTAGGTAACACAAATAAGATAATTGATTGTTTCATTTCCTTGTAAAAATATATATATTTATATAGGAAACGCAAAAGTCATTTAATTTTATTCCCTATAACAATCGTCAAGGAGAGTTAAAAATATTGAATATAGTCTGTTTCCCGTGCATTTGACCCTGTTATTTCAGGTAAGTGAGGATATTCTCCTTCTTTTGGTCAACGCTTTTGTGTACAAAACAATGTAAGGAACCCTTTTGTGTATATAACAATACCAAGGATATGGCTTTCATTCTTCACGTTTATATATTCCTTGTGAGAAAACCCTTTATTTGATATCAAGAACTTTGACCCTTTGACCTTGACTTTTGATTTGACCTACTTTTTAAAAGCAAACCTTGATCATAATTTTTTAAAGGGTTAGGGCTTTCGTACTAACTTTAAATATTTATTCCTTGTGACAAGACCTTCATTTGATAGCAAGACCTTTGACCCTTTGACCTTGAAGTTTGACCTACTTTTGGCCATAACTGAACGGTTAGGGCTAGGGTTTCCATACTTCACATATGTATTGTATATGGCAAGACCTTTCATTGGATACCAACTACCTTGACCTTTTGACCTTGACATTGGAGATTTCCATACGTATGAAAAAACTTTAACTTTGATCATAACGTTTGAATCACAGGGGCCTGTAACATACTGTATTTGATTTTACGTAATCACTATACGTATACAAAAAGAGAAAGGGAAACAACATCAGCCCGAATTTACACAGGGTCGATCTCGGAAATATTTCGTATTTCATAGAAAAAACAATGTAGCCAATTAAATTATAACTAGGAATCATACTACAATAAATATTCTTTAATAAAACAGAAACCTCATTCATTTATATAGCGTTTAAGTTGGGTAATACTAACTCGATATCCAGTTGTGCGAGTCGATGTACTTTAAGTCGTCCACTAAAACGAGGTAAAATTCGCACATTTTCTTCAGTTTTCAAGTCTTTCCGGAGATGGAAAACACAAACTAAAGATCCAGCGTTCACGAAAATCATCTTTTTCTTTTGTTAATTGCAATTAAAAGGTACGACATCTCCGATTTGAACAAATACGGTAGCTTTTTTCGTTCACAATAGGGCCCGAGCCTAGAACAGACGACATTTTTGAAAAACCCATGATTGGTAAAAGGCGGAGCGTGATTGGTCAGATCTGTTCTAGAAAAGCACTATTGACCAATCACATCTGGCGTTAAATCTTAGATGCAATGTTTAGCGAATTTATTGGACGACTTAAACTACATCACTTGCATGACAGGATATCGGACTTGCAAAACACTACTTACACGATTCTTAAATGACCGCGATGATATTTTTATTAAAGAGTGATTATTGCTGAATGATCCCAGGCGTTATTTCACTAACTGCAAGGTATTTTATTGAAAACACGAATCATTTCCTAGATCGACCCTGTGTAAATTCGGGCTGACGTTGTTTCCCTTTCTATTTTTGTATACATATAGTGATTACGTAAAATTAAATACAGTATGTTACAGGCCCCTGTGGTTTGAATGCTAAGGGCTAGTGATCTCATACTTCACTAATATAATCCTTGTGAGAAGACCCTTAATTGGATACCAATGACTTTGACCTTGAAGATTTCCGTTTTTATGAGAAAAAAACTCTAATCTTTGCCTACTTTCATATTTCACAATTTTATTTCCAGTGAGAATACTCTACTTTTAGTACCAATATATTAAATCGCATGTGAGAAAAGTGTTTAATTTGTGCTATGTTGCCATACGGGGGCATCAGTGTTTCACAAACACATCTTGTTTTCAGATGATAATCGCACAGCACATATGTATCTATTGAAACATATAAGAAAAAGAGCATTAATAAATTAGAATCTATATATATTGAATAAATGTTAATGCATAATTATGTGATTTCCTAAAGTAAAGGAAGACACATCCACAACAATCTGGAGAACAGGGTAATTGCGATTTTGTAAAAATACTCACAAAAAAGTTTTTGTTTATTTTCCAGGTCATGTTTTTTTGACTGTCAAGTTCTTGAGTTTTTTAAGGATGGCGGAAAAGGGTGAATGTAAAGGAAATACAGGTGATGAAGTAAATGTAAGTGTACATGTACATGCAAGTTTCAGGAAAAAAATATACAGTTTTGTATAATTGTATAATTCATAATTTTCTCATTTTCATCTTTTGCTAAAATATTTTAAAATATTTTAGAATCAATGTTTCTTGAAAAAAAGACATGGAACATGAAGGTTTAAAATAACTCACAATTCTTTTTTATGCACAACATACACATGAACTTGTTCATATGTAGATGTCTAAAAACCCTTATACATAATAACTGGTATATGTCAACCTTTTTTTCAGTACGATAAGAAATGTATAAAACAAAACTGCAAGTGATCGTTTAAAATGGTATTTTTTCGCTTTACAGGACGTTAAAGGAAAACAATTGAAGACGAGCACGTTTGCTGGCATTAGTAGCGACATTTTTAATGGCACAGATAGTAAGTCCGGCACGAAGGAGCGCCAGTTTGGATATGAGGACCAGCCTCTGACTTGTGGTAAGTATGATCTTAGCCCGCCTATTAAAAATTAATCCACACACACACACACACACACACACACACACACACACACACACACACACACACACTCACACACACACACCCTCACACGCAAGGCTTCATATTTTCTCTGTACACCTCACGGTCGCCGCAGATTCCAGATATCCTGACTAACTAACATCATTTAATCCGGCTATTCCAAGGAGAATACTATTGTTCAGTTGTACTTTTAGAGGGGATATGATGTTGTAACTTTAAAGTTTAAAATCGGTAGTTAAGTAGATAAAATCCCAGTGCTTTTGGTTTCTTTTGTTCTATACCCCATTAGAATATTTTGATCCGCGATCGATATGTGGAGTACGAAATAAGTTGTATATGTGATAATATGTCATTTCACGTTCAAAACATTGATAATATCTTATTCACAACAAGGTATTTTGTGAATTTTTTTTTTTTTTTTTTTGACGGAAGTCAAATACTTAAGTTTTTAATATTTTTTGCTTGTTACTGATATCAAAGATAAATATGTTTCTCACAGATCCGTTACCAGATTTAACAGAAAATCAGCGTGTCGTTCTCTACACAGTTTACTTGTGTCGTGATGACAGAGATTATATCGATCTGGATGATGATGCCGTCTCTATGGGAGAAATTGATGTCAGGAAGACGGTGGAGGAGCTAGAGGACAGAGGACTGATGAAACGTGTCAGAGTATCGGATAACAGATCTCTGTCTCGCATCCCATGTGACAAACTACTTGAGATAATGGAATCTTACATGGAGAACTGTCTGCTGAGGGATATAGACAAAGACTTCTTCATACATGTCATCTCCGACTACTCCTTATATTGTTATATAATAGATTTCTTTACGTTATACCGTGATGATTCAAGTCCACAAGACAGTAGATCTGTAACATTAATGAGACTGATGATGGAGGGGAGGATGGACGTAGTACTAAGAACTATATCACGTACGTATTCTTCACTTACTTTTGTAAAGCTAGATGTAGTAAAAAGAGATATAACCTGTCAACCTTCTACACATACCGGTATATGATTATATTTTCAACAGTTTTTCAATTGCTACGTCATATAGTTCACAATACAACTATACAATATTTACATTTGCAAATATCTTTCTTAGATGAACCTATTGAAGAGAAAATATGTTCAATTCTGTGTGAATTTTATTTGGGGGTCAGAGGTCATAGAGTGACCGAATCAAAGAGAAAAGAGATATTTTGTCTATGTAGTGTATTTGGGGGGTATTTTTAATTTGTAATTGGGATCGGGCTCAGGAGCCTGTCGATCTCTCTCTTCCCGCGTTTCCGCCAAGCTGGGTACAGGCCATGTTTTTCAGAGCTCCTTGATTTTGTAACATATCCAATCAATTGTTTATAATCAATATATTATTTTTATCCAAAGTGATTTGATTGTCTTTATACAAGTAAGAAATCACTTTATCTACATATTTCTGTCACAGTGCAATTTGTTTTGGAATATTTCTAGGTTAATAACGATGAAAAAGATAAATTATATACAGTATGGATATTTTTCAATCACGAGATGTACAATTAATCTTCTTTCGATGTGAATAAGGTTTTGCCTAAAACAAAATTTGACTTTTTGTAGGGGCCAAGATATGCAATATACCGCATATAGATCTTTTTGGCATTTTGAGATGCCCCCTCTGGTAACAAGACGGTAGAATTTTGTGTTTCTTACATATGATATTCAATATAGTATTACTCATCACATATTATAGTTTGAACAAAAAGTATATTGTAGTATTTGTATCATTTGCTTTAAAGTGCTAAAATTTGGCATTTTCCTATTTAATCCTATAGTAAATGTACCTGTATTTTGAGACGGTATCTTAAAAATACCTGGACGGTAGGTTTCCCCCAAACTTGACATGCACACTGAAGTTTATATGTTATTTATGGTATAAAAATGAAAGTTCAAACGTTTCGCTATTGTAGTTTTCACACAAAAAAACCCAAGTCGACCCCCTTAAAATATTGGAGCGAGGTAAACTTTCAAGACCGAACAACTTCTAGGTCGTTGCGCGTCTCAACATAGCAATACGGCGATCCGTTCCTGTAATAAATGCAGTTTTACTCAAACTTTATTCGTCTCAAATGTAAATATAAGTTATTAACAACAATGTTAATTGGTACGTGATCAAATCTACTGAGAAGTCCTTCGGGAATATATATATATATATATATATAAAGTCTCTTTTTGTGTCAATACAATAAAAAACTTTAAAACATATTTCGAAAAGTGTTTTAAAGTTTTTTATTATATATATATATATATATATATATATATATATATATATATATATATATATATATATATATCATTGATAAAAAAATGAAATTATTACGTAATAAGATAATAAGATGTTGTACTTCGGAATGTAAAAGATTTATTGATTGTATGTTGTTTTACGTCCCATTTGAGATTTTTTCACTCGTTTAGAGACGTCATTAAATACCGGTGAAGGGGTTCAAATTTTGATGTTTACTCTGCACTCATGATCGGGGCCATTGAGCAGTGAGGGATATCTTTCGTCCACACGCCTGTTTTTACTCGGTTTTTAATGTCCCATCCGAAGGACCCACAACATTCACTTCAAAGTGCCGAGCGCATGACAAAGGAACAGTTGCTTCCCATCTTTTATCGACTTAGGTCGGTCGCGACCGAGATTCAAACTCATAATCTCCCGATTACGGAGCGAGGGCTCTACCGATTGAGCTACCTTGAATGTCCTCTAATTGCATATCAAATCAACAGGAAATATCGACCCTATATGCAGGTGTCAAGGGTATATTGCTACATTAATAAGGAAAGTTGAAGTAATCACGTGCATCATAAAATTTTGTTGTTAGGTTACCATTAAGGCCTTTTTTTTAGTAAACTATCCGAATATGAACAGATGTCACAGAATCTGTGGTATCTTTTATCTGAAGTTCACTGGGATATATCGAGATAACATACGAATGGAAATAACTATTGTTAATTGATAATGTATCGTTGGTATATCTAAAGGTCGAGTTGAATGCCACGGCGAGTGTCTTTTTTTCTCATGTATAATTTTATTAATAAAGTCTGCTTCATACTCTGCTTGAACTTTCTAAAGCCTTCCTCTTATAGTCTTTGTTTCAAATTGCTCTAGTCATGGAACCGTACATTGGGACCAGAACTAGGATCATTTTTTACATTCATTTGGTATACTCATGAAAGACCAAAAAAGTCTAAATTTTTTTCCAGAATGGGAAAATTGTGACATTAACATGCATGCGTTCTACTATAGTGCAGATTCAAATTTCCTTGAAACAATGCACTTTAATGGAGTTATAATTCGTTAATATAAAGTGGAAAACCCCTAAAACGAAACATATGGAGATATCAAACAGTATTCAAGATCAAAAATCCATTAAACAATACAAAATAGGAGCAGAGAAAACACGGATCTTCAAAACATTGGAGGTGAGACCAGATGCCAAACACGTTTAAATCATTCATATACAAAAACTTCCAAGTTGTATGGTTTCATTTTGTTAAATTTCAAAAGATAGGCCTTGTGGTTAAAGTGGTCTGATTGGAAATTAAATTTTACATAATGCATGTCTGCAGGAAACACATATTGACAAGTCACACCCGCCATAAGCCCCTTTTTTAGCCCCTCTTTTAAGCAGGTAGACGTAATATCCTGTAGTCAGATAAAACATAAAATGAAAGGCCTAGTTGACATATAAACCATATGAATGGAAGCTTAGGTGCATGGACACAGACTTAAAGTTAATATTTACTGTATAATATCACGACTTATATATTTTAATAGCATTTCACACGAAAATATATTAAAAATTTTATTTTATCTTAAAGTTATTGAAACTTCAAATTTTTGGATGGGTGTGATTGACACATCCTTGCACTCTTACAAATTTTACTGTTATTCTTATTACTTAGGAAAAGTATCGCTCCCGGTGAATCGTAAACATCAACAATAACAGAGCTCGTGCCCTGTTTACAACGACTGTGATCAATCTGCTAGACTCTGTACACAACACTTAGCACGGAATGACGATACTTGTGAAGGGGCTTTGCTTTCTAACATTTCTACTCTTAATATAGTTATCTTTTGGATTGGATTAAAGTTTAAATATTTTTCATTTGTACACAACAAATTGCCATTATTGATGTTTACTCTTCACCGGGAGAGTCAATTGTTAAAGTCTGCTCACCACAACTGCATGGACTGACAATATACTGTGTGTATAATTTACTTTCGAACATTTCTACTCTGAATTTTCTGGATTATAGTTTTAATATTTTTCATTTATACACAACGATATTGCCACTTTTCCTAAGTATTAAGAATAAAAGTAAAATTTGTGAGTCTCACTTTTACCAAAGGAATATATAGTGGGAAAGTGAGACTAACAACTTTCAACTCCTCTGAATATCAATTTCAGAGGACTTGTGTAGAATAAAAGCAATTTTTATGCCCCTCCATGAAAACAGCCGCGGCATATAGTGTTTGTCATGTCCGTTTTCCGTCCTTCTGTCCTTCCGTCACACTTTGCGTTTAGCTATGTTCAAAGCTCAGTTTCAAAGAAATTATCCAAGATTTTTTCATCAAACTTTGTAGGCTGATAGATATTAATGAGAGCT